ATCTCAGCTACTTAAGAAACTGAGACAGGAGGATTGCAAGTTTGAGGCCAGCCTGGGCATCTTAGTGAGACCCTGTCTCAAAATAAAATGAAAAGTGGACTGTGGGCGTGGCTCAAGCAGTAGAGCACCTGCCTAGTAAGTGTGAGACTCTGAGTTAAAACCCAGTACTGCCAAATAAATTAATTAAATAAAAATAATAATAAATAAAAAATAAAATAAAATAAAAAAGGATTTGGAATGTAGCCCAGTGGTAGAGTACTTGCCTAGCTGGGGGAGTCTGAAAACACATCAATGAATTTTTTATACAATGTTGTATTAAAACCCATTGGCCTAGCTTATATGTTGAATGGGTCATTGGTCCATTTGTGATTTTGTAACATAATATTTTGTCATGTCAAACCCTAGTACTGCCAAAACAAAACAAAATTATGCTTTGGTCATTTGGAAAGTATTTGAGTTTTAAAGATTTTACAAGTGTTTTGATATTTCATACAAATTTTTGTAGGGTCCTGGGGCTTGAACTCAGGGCCTTCACATTGAGCCACTCCACCAGCCCTTTTTTGTGAAGGGTTGTTTTCAGATAGGGTCTTGTGGACTATTTGCGCAGGCTGGCTTCTAACCATGACCCTCCTGATCTCTGCTTCCTGAGTAGCTGGGATTACAGGTGTGAGCCACCAGTGCCGGCACATACAAATTTCTTGAACCATGCAGTTATTATGTATGTAAAAATCAGTTATCCCACTTACATGAAATGCCCAGGGCCAACAAATCCACAGAGACAAAAGCAGGTCAGTGACTACCAGAGGCTGGGAGAACAGGAAACGGGGAGGAGTAACTGCCCATGGGGACAGGATCTATTTTGGGGTTGCTAAAAAGACTTTGCAAAGGTAGCATAACTTTGTAAATATGTAAAAACCACTGAGTTATTCTTTTTTGTGGTACTGAGGATTGAACTTAGAGCCTCCCACCTGCTAGGCAAGCACTCTACAACTTGAGCCACTCCCAGCCCTTTTTTGCTTTTAGGTTTTTTATTCAGGTAGGATCGCTCACTTTTGCCCAGGGCTGGCCTCAGCTGCAGTTCTTCTACTTCTCCCTCCAGAGTAGCTGGGGTTACAGGTGCAAGTCATACTTTCAAAGGATGAATTCTATGGCATATGAGTTATACTTCAATTTTTCAAATCACCTGTGTGACTATTACCACCAATCTCATTAGAAAACTATTCAAAGTGTTCACTTAAAAATAACTAGAGCCAGCGCTGGTGACTTACACCTGCAATCCTAGCTACTCAGGAGGATCACAGTTCGAAGCCAACCCTGGGTAAATAGTTCACAAGACCCTATCTCAAAAAAAAAAAAAACCCTTCACAAAAAAGGGCTGGTGGAGTGGCTCAAGGCGAAGGCCCTGAGTTCAAACCCCAGTACTGCAAAAAAAAAAAAAAAAGTAGAGGAAAGTGGACAAGCTCATGGAGGTTGATGCAATTCTCCAAAATTCTAACTTTCTTTTAAAAGCTCGAATATCACCATCCTGCAGCTGCTTTCCTTAAAGAGACCACCTCATTTCCAATGTGTCTGCCACATAGCATTTTTTGTGAAAAAAGCAGGTCAGCTTGGGACTTGGGAGTGGCAACTGCTCTTCCCCAAGGGTACCGTTGCGTGTTGGTTCACGAGGCAGGTTTGGGCTTACGGCCATTTTGCCCATTTTGCCACACTGAGTACTGGAAAGCTGTGTGCGAGCCGTAGCGTGAAGCCTTGTACAGCTTCATCACGGCCATCCGTCAGTGAACCTGTCATTGGACTGGCGCTGCAGGTCCGGGCAGAATGGCACAATGCAAGCACTTTGGGTGTCCCTGCTCTGATGGAGGCAGGGACAGTTTTCCAAGCATGAAAATGGCCTTTGCACCATCAGACAACCCTGAGAGTGAGGTAAGTTATTCAGCATTTGCTTCAGCCTCACTGTGTTTTTTGCAAGGACTGGCAGAAAATAACGGCTGACTTGGAGTGAGGCCAAGTCAGCCGTATCTGTTGACCTGGCCGTCTGTAAGACAGCAGGACAGTGCTGCAGAGCAGACACTAACTCATTCTTCCTGTTTACACCTAACTCTTCCATTTGACAAGCTGCTGGATCAGAGGAACGTGGTCCTGCTGTAGTCTCACTGCCTTTGCATCCAGCAGGCCTTCGGCTGTGGCAACTGCTCACAGACATGCCTCAGACAGCAATCCTCTTACCTATGCCTCCAGTGTAGCTAGGATTACAGGTACACACCACCACACCTGGCTTATTGAGATGGGAGTCTCGATAATGTTTTGCCCTGGCTGGCCTCAAACTTCGATCCTCTTGATCTCTGCCTCCCGAAGAGTTGGATTTATGGGTGTATACCACCCAGGGAAGCCTGGAGAGGCTTCTTTCAAGAAGGAAGGGAGTGACAGCAGAACTCTCAGATGTGAATGTGGGGCCATCCTGAAACAGAAGATCTGAGACCAACGTTCTTGTACCACAAAGCCAAAGAATGAACTTCACAGACAAGAAAAGTGTAAAGTGGGAGAGTGGAGCGTACAGAGTTGGAAGGGGGTCCCACGAGAGGGTGTCCAAGAAATGACATGATCTGAAGTTTTTATCTGTTCTCTCCAGGGCTTGCTCAAGCCCTGTGTTAATCAGATGTACAGAAAGCAGCATTTTGGTTGACTGTGCCTATAATGTTTTGGTCCGTCCTGATCCTCACCCACCTGTCCTGCCTTTCCTCCTTTCCACCCTCCAAGGTCACAGGGAGGTCACAATGGAGGTTTCCAGGGGCCCTTCTGTCTCAATATTGGCTGTGTTTGACTTACCAGGACTGGAGGTCCCCACTCAAAATCTTCAGACAACAGTGAGTGGGGAGGGAACGCTGATGTCAAACTGCAAAGACTGGGAAAGGAAGCATTTGTCATCTAGGAAAGGGGACCAGAGTCGCTGGAAAGCAGGGGTCACTGGTGAGGTTCCTTACGTATCACTGTTGGGACCCCAACAATGAAAGGTGGAAGCAGTGGGCCGAGGATCTGCAGTTGGCATTGGGGACTGAGGTGAAGGCCAGCCCCACTTCCTCCTCTGTCGCCAGGTGACAGAGAGAGGTGAATTCCTGGGGAGGAGCAGGTTTCCAAGTGGCCAAGGCAGGAAGGGGAGAGGAACAGGTTTGGAAAGTGCTAGTGAACCATATTCAACCCCTTTACTCCATCCGAAAGTTCTCCGTAAGAGTGTGTGAGCTTCGTAAGCATTTACTTCTTACTATAATTTAAATGGTCTCAGGCCACTTTGTAGAAAAATAACTTCCTTCATCAAAAGCTTGGAATAGGCCAGGTGCAGTGACTCAAGCCTTTAATTCCAGCTACTCTGGAGGCAGATATTAGAAGAATTGATGTTTGAAGCCAGCCCAAGAAAAAAGTTATCCAGATGCCCATCTCAATCAATACCAGGGCATAGTGACACACGCCTGCCATCCCAGCTACACTGGAGGTTTAAATAGCAGTTTCTAGGCTTGCTTGGGCAGAGCTGCAAGACCCTATCTGAAAAATGACTAGAGCAAAAAGGGCCGGGGCTGTGCCTCTGCTGGTAGAGCGCCTGCCCTAAGTTAAACCTGCTACCGCCAGTACTTTCTTTTCTTTTCTTTTTTTTAAGTGAGGAGTAGGGACAACTTCCCCTGCTTGATAATTTATTTCAAATTATCTTCTGAATTTTGTAGTTTCTGTGCTCCGATCTCCTGTTACACTCTTCTCAGCATTATTGATGGCCTCTACATATCATCTGTGTGTGTGTGTGTGTGGTATGTGTGTGTGTGGTACTGGGGTTTGAACTCCAGGCCTTGTGCTTGCTCGGCAGTGCTCTTACCGCTGAGCCACTCTGCCAGCTCCCCAGAACTTTCAAGTTCCATTGTCAAACAAGGCGTTGGCCCTAAAAGGAGAGATGGGGTGCTTTATGCTCACTGTCTGGGAGCACTTGATCATCACGGAAGGGCAGAGGGACAATAATTTTCAAACACTCCTTCCCAGAGATGTAGCACTTCACCCTCAAAACTGTATTACTGGACTCGGGGAATAGCTCAAAGGGTAGAGTGCTCGCCTTGCAAGCCCAAAGCACTGGACTCAATCCTCAGTACCGCAAAACAGTAAACTGTTAGCCAGGCATTGTGGTGCATGCCTGCAATCCCGGCAGTTAGGAGGCTAAGACAGCCTGGGCTATATAGCTAAAGGAGCATGCAAAAAACAAAACAGAAAACTGTCCTTTTTACCCCTGTGCCACGTTAACAAAGTGCAAAGCATACTGTTTTCATTTGGCTATGCACCACTCACGTTCTTCAAACTCCCTGTTATTCAGTGGTGGTCGTAGCATTCCCTTGGGAAAGCAGCATCCCTTTAAGCAGTACTGGGAGGTGTACTCTGGGTGAGGGCTGTGAGCACAATGGCTGCACTTTTCTGGCTGGGCCCCCGTGCTGGTCACAGGCTGTCACATGAGGGGATGGTGCCTGGCATCACAGGGCCACAAGCCAGGGGCCTGAATATGAACTTAGAGGAACGAAGAGGGGAAGACAGCTGAGCTCACCCAGAGCCCTCGCCCATGGCACCTGCCCCTGCAGCTCCCTGTGTGGACACTCAGTCACCTACTCCCTGGAATACCAGGAAAAAACTCAAAGGCCCACTGAGCCTTTTGAATGCCTAGCTAAAACAGGTATCTGAGAACAAGCTGCTAACAACCCTTTATTGCTCATTTACACAGCAGAACCTCCTTTGCCTTGAAGGGGCTTGCTGAGCCGCAAACCTTTCTGTCTTGCAGCTCTTGTTCTCAAGCCACCAAGTGACCCTCTGTACCACAGGGATGGTGGCTTAAGCACAGGCTTGGGTGCCACAATCTGCTGCATCCATGTGCAAATCTCCTATGCTCCTCAAATGGCTCCTGGAACCACAAACCTGTTTGTTTTAAGAAAATGAGATTGGGGCCTGCAGAGCAGGTCTTGCTGCCAGGAAAGGTGCCTCTACAGCTGTGCCTCCCTCTGGTCTCCCAGTCTCTGCCTCCTCTTGCGGAGTTGCCACTGGAGCTAGAGTTTGTTGGTGAAGAACATCTGTCTCCAACCCAGGACCCTGGCCAGGGCCCTCATGTCAGGAGTGACGGTGTCACAGGCTGACTTAACTATCTGCTCCCACAGCCTGTTGGACGAGCACAGCTGCAGGTGGAAAGAGCCAGAGGTGGGGCAGGGCATGCACAGGTGAAGGAAGACACTCAGTTACTATCAAACTCCTGCTTTCCGTGAGATACTGTACACAGCATGTCATGTGCAGGACAGTGTGACAGACACGGGTTCTGCCTCAAGCCACTCCTCTTTAGGAAAGAGGCAAGGACACAAACATCTACAGGCAACCTGACTGAGGGAACAAACCAAGTCTTTTCTTTTTTTTAGTGTCACTGGGGTTTGAACTCAAGACCTCATGCTTGCTACACAGGTGCTCTTACCGCTTGAGCCACTCCGCCAGCCCACAAAACAAGTCTTGACCTCACTTAAGATGTGAAAGACAAAACTCTTATAATACATAGTATAACCACAACTATAGGACATCATTAATTTATTGCCCACACAACAGAAGGTGCCAATGTCATGACCAGCCTATCTTCCCCAGCACGGCACTAGCTTCTCCAGGCAAGACCACCACTGAGTCATGTCATTTGCACTAATTCGATTTTGGTTTGTTTTATTGTATTTGCGGTGCTGGGGATGGAAGCCTGGCTCCACTCTGGCTAGGCAGCACCGTGGCACTGAGCCACACCCCAGTCCTGGGGTCTCACGGAGGAGCAGCTCTCCCCCACCTGGGCTTGCGCAGTTGACAGCTCCGTCCACTGGGCAATGCTCGTGGTAAATTGCCTTCAGCTCTGGGGGTTTTCACCAGGGCCACAAGGTTAAGGACTGGTAAGGCCTGTCTGGCCTAAGGTAATTTTGTAGTGCAAGGTGATTTTGAAAGTTCAAAGCTGCCAAAATTCAGCTTTACCCAAGATATCTTCACGTTACCTTTTCAGTTGGCCAAGTACTCTTTTATTTTTTATTTTTGGTGGGACTGGAGTTTGAACTTAGGGTTTTAAACTCTCAAAGCAGGCAGTTTACCGCTTGAGCCACACCTTCAGTCCACTTCGCTCTGGCTATTTTGGAGATGGGGGTCTCACAAATTACTTGCCTGAGCTGGCCTTAAACCTTGATCCTTCCGACGTCAGCCTCCCAAGTAGCTAGGATTACAGGCATGAGCCACCACGCCTGGCAGGCAACTACTCTTTAGTATCCTTTGACTAAATACTATCAGGATGGAGACATCTGGGGCTAGGGGTGTAACTCAGTGGTAGAGTACTTGCCAGATATGTGTGAAGTCCTGGGTTCAGTCCCCACTACTACAAGAGAAAAAAACAACAGAATCTCCGACCCCCTCCCTCACCTGCTCCCAGGTCCTTCCTGAAACTAAAGCATTGCTTAATTCCCAACCTTAACGATCACCATGGACTTTGGTGAAGGCAAGCATGTGATTATCAATAGATGCTAGAACATTCAGCATCACGTCAGCAGATGTGCCTCCACACGGGCTCAGGGATGGATACCTCCTAGCTCCAGCCTCCCTGTGCCAAGGCGCCTTCAAGGAAGTTAATTGCCAGCCTTGTTCTCCTGAGTCTCTTCTAGTCAATTGTCACATGTGAAGATCCAGAAGCAGAGAGATCAAGGCACAGTTGGGGGACATTAAGAAACCCACAGTTGCTCTGCACTAGTGATTTCAGGGCATGAGGCCTCTCCCACAGGCGGAGAGGCCACACGGGAAGCAAGATTAGCTCTAGGTAGGGATCCGTGCAGGTCACCAGCCTGGGAGGAACAAGGGAATTGACTTTACTATGGGTGTAATGAAAATTAGGTTGAACTTATTATTTTATTCACTTAAAGTTCCTTTTTAGGTACAACACTACCACCTAAATAGAAGTGGATGGCCTGGTAAAAATGTCTCAAATTCTACAACATTGAATCCATTTGTGCTCCATTCAGAGAGAGGTCAGGATTTTGGAAATCTAAGTCTCTACAGAAAAAGGAACTGAATGGCTCAAACAGTTGTCAAGAGCCAAGGCAAGAACTGGAAGTGTGGCTCAAGCAGTAGAGCACCTGCTTTGCAAGTGCCTAGGGTCCTGAGTTCAAACCCTAGTCCCACCAATGTGAGGCTGGGGGTGGCACACGCCTCTCATCCCAGCACTAGGAGGCTGAAGCAAGAAAAGAGCTTGCCTGGGCTGCAGAGAAAGAGATCCTTGCTTTTTTTTTTTTTTTTAAAGAACCAATGTGAGTATTAGGATTGTGGCAAGCGAGGCAGTGAGAGACAGTTGGATTACAGATGGATTTCTGAAGGTTTTGAAGGTAGAGCTCTTAATGTACTAGAACCAGTGATATTCCAGGGAGGTCTGCAAAAGCAAAGAGGCCTCTGCCTGGCCCTTGGGTTTGGAGGTCATGATGTTGTCATAAAGGAGAATTTTAGGATGCATCAAGGTAGAGACCAAGAAAGTTTAGTAGTAAAGCAAAGCAAAGAAAGGACACTACACAGACACACGTGCAGGCACATCTTGTAGCAGGTACAGTATGCTCTAACATCAGGGCATTTATGGTGAAAAAGTAGGTTGGGGTTTTGGTTCAAATTCACCTTAGGACAAGTGCTCCCCTTTGTCCTGGACACCTGGTGCATTTAATTATTCTTGCTGTTAACACTGTTTCATCAATTGAGCCCAAAGATTTCAAGATGGGCCCTTTTATTAAATTTGGGTCACTATGACAATAGGTGTCTGAGCATCCCTTGAAACAAACGTGGGTCCTGCCAGATGCTCCTTTTAAGACAGGAGTCCATCCTCGAGATACGTGTTTTCCTTTGTAAACACTTTTTGTGCCCAGAGGAGTCATTTTCCCAGGTGGCTTTTCCCAAGATAAGTGTCTTTAAGCTATCTTTGTTCGGTTCCCAGGGTGCACTGATTGTTTGAGGGAGCAGGCAAGGTCAGAGGGAGAGAGCTGCTCTTTTCCCTTTTGACTAAATGTTGCAGCTGAGGGGGTGTAAATATGCAAGCAAAGAACACAGTACCTGTGTGCTTTGAATCGAGTTATTCATTAATACAGTGTTTATTTGAGTCCCTGGCTGCTGCTTTCCATGTCTCATTTCCCCTGATCTATCCTGCCTCAATAAGACTAGCTAACAAGTTAAGTTAAAAACAAAAATTAAGACTGGGTGCCAGCAGCTCATGCCTGTAATCCTAGTCACTTGGGAGGCTGAGATCAGGAGGATTGCTGGTCAAGGCCAGCTGAGGCAAATAGTTGAATGACTACATATCCAAAATAACCAGAGCAAAGTGGACAGGAAGGGTGGCTTAAGTGGTGGAGCGCCTGCCTAATAAGTGCAAGACCCTGAGTACATGGGAAAAAAAACCAAAAAAGTCTACAGTACCAAATTATCTGTGTATCCTTCATCCGTCCAAGCAGACATTTCTTCAGAACCTGTATTTGCTAGGCATGGGGAATTCTGAGAATACTGAAGAGGGCAGATTCACAATTAAAGAATTATAATTTAATCTGTGCTAATAATAGAATGAAACTAAAAAGCCCAAACATAAACTGACTTCAAACAAAGCCTCATTTCACCGTAACTCTGACTCTTTTAGAGAGTTCTAGAATATTCTATCCCTCCAGATCACAGGGTAGACTAAAGACAATTGGACTCACCCACTCTGTCCTAGGGCACAGTACTGCCAGTGTAGCCCATGCAAGATGTGCCACAGAGAGCCGTGGCCAGGGGAGGGAAGGAGAGAAGGATCTTTGATGTGACCTGTGGGCTTGGAGCAGTGCTGTAGCTAAGTATGGGGAAGGCCCATTGTGCCTGGGTGCCCCGTGGGAAGCCTCGCTGTCATAGGCTCTGGGACAGAAGCCTGAGCTGTCACCGTGTCAGCCCTCACACACACAAACACATACCTGTCACAGGAACTGCTCTCTTCTGTCCTGGACAGTCCTCCTCTTGTCCTGCCATCACTACCTGCCCTATGCTATAACCCCACTTGAGCACAGGGAATCAGATGTCCCCCTCTGCTGTCAGAGTATGTGCCCCATCCTGGACGTTCATCTCACAACCTTTGTGCTTGCCAACCCCAAACAGCCAAGCTCTGTCTGGCTTTGCTCCCAGGCATCCTCACTTCTTGGAAGGAAGAAATCTCTTTCCTTACACGGTGACCCTCACCTCAACAGAAAGCATCCAGCATTCTACCTTCATACTCTACTCATTCTAAAAAAAGGCAGGAGAGGCATACCATCTGAAGAGAAACCAAAGCACACTGTATTCTAAAAATACTCTACCCAAGAAGGGACAAGAATGAATTACAAATGAAAATGAGTAGTATAATTAAACATAGTTGCTTAAGATCCTTTCTGCAGAAAGATCTAGCCACAGCCTTTCCGGTCACAGAATGAAGGTCACTGTTGAAACACAGACACTGAGTCACGTATTCAGAGTTCCTGAAACATGTGGATGTTAGACCATTCATTAACTTCTCCTACCTTCAGCAGCCCTTCAAGGCTTGATTTCTCAATTCAGATTACATATGGTAAATATAGACAACAAAGGAAAACTTAAGAATTTTTTTCAGTACTGGGAATTCAATTTAGGGCCTTGAGATTACCAGGCAGGGTCTCTGTCACTTGACCCAGCCAAGTCCTTTAGGTTTGTTTGTTGTTGTGGTGGTGGTGGTGCTGCTGAGGTTTGAACTCAGGACCTACACCTTGAGCCACTCCACCAGGTCTTTTTTGTGAAGGCATTTTTCAAGATAGGGTCTCACGAACTATTTGCCCAGGCTGGCTTCAAACCTTAATCCTCCTGAGTAGGTAAGGTTACAGGCGTGAGCCACCAGCATTCACTGTCCTGTAGCTTTTAAGTTTGGTTTTCATTTTTTTTTTCTTTATAATTTTGCCCCTGCTAGTCCCAAACTGCCATTCTCCTCCTCTGCCTCCTCAGTAGCTGGGTTTACAGGTATTCACCACTACACCTGGCCCATGAAATGTCTTTTTTTTTTGTCTTATATTTTTATTGACTTTTGATTTTTGTCTTTACAATGGTGCAAAAGTGTACCCACACAACAATTCCATTTTGTACAAAACTCAATAGATATTCAACTGGGCATTATATAATAGGATTTTTTTTTTTCTGTGTGGTACTGGGGTTTGAACTCAGTGCCTCACGCTTGCTAGGCAGGTGATCTACCACTTGAGCCACTCCGCCAGCCCATGAAATGTCTTAATATTAAAAAAGCAACACAGAAGCTGGGTACCTGTAATCTTAGCTACTTGGGAGGCTGAGATTCAGAGGATCATAGTTTGAGACTAGCCCAGGCAAACAGTTCATGAGACCCTATCTGCAAAATAACCAGAGGAAAATGGACTGGCAGTGCGGGTCAGCAGTAGAGCACCTGCTTTGCACGCACAAAGCTCTGAGTTCAAATCCCAGTACTGGTTTTATTGCTTTGCTTTTTGGTAGTACAGGGGTTTGAATGCAGAGATTCTCACTTTCTAGGCAGGTGCTCTACCACATGCCCCATATCCCAGTCCCAAACCCCAGTGCTGGGGGAAGGAAAAAAATCATAGTGCTGGATGTAAAAATCTTATCAGGTCATATCGGGTCCACTGGTACCTACCTGTAGTCCAGTGGATCTCTTGAGCAGATGAGTTCAAAGTCAACCTGGGCAATATAGTGAGACCCCCCATCCCAAGAAAAACAAAACAAAATAAAAAACAAATCAGTCAGGCATTGGTGGCTCATGCCTGCAATTCCAGCCACTTAGGAGGCTGAGATCAGGAAGATGGAGGTTGGAGGCCAACTCGGACAAATAGTTTGTGAGGCCTCCATCTCCAAAATAAGCAGAGCAAAATGGATTGGAGGTGTTGCTCAGCAGTAGAGTGCCTGCTTTTGCAAGTGCAAAGTGGTGAGCTCAAACCCCAGTCCCACCAAAAACAAAACAAAAAATCGGATCATCTGAATCCCCTGTGAAAGATCTGAGCTCTGATTGGGACATGGCTCAAGCAGTAGAGCACCTGTATGAAGCCCTGAGTTCAAACCCCCAAAATACTGCCAAATATAAAGAAAGAAAGAAAGAAAGAAAGAAAGAAAGGAAAGCTCTGAACTCTAACATGAATGTGGTTTGGTATCTTATTACTAATACAACACATTTCAGCACATCAGTGTACCTTGTAGAATGGAGATCATGGGAGAAAACTGCAAGGCTGGGGGACAAAGGAAACACTTCAAAACAGCTAAAATTTCAACTAGTGTATGTTTATTTATGAGTCATCACACTTTGGATTGAAAGTATTTCATTTTATTTTGTAAATTGGTCTACAAAATACTTTCGCCCCCACCCCCAAACAAAAAGACCAAAAACCAACCAAACAAAAACCCAAAGAGACAAAATATCCCTGCCTGAAATCCCTAAGGCCTGGACCTCTTTTGCCTGGTAGTTTCCAGGGATCCATCCTGGTACACTACCCACTTTGAGCCACAGCACAGCTAATCGTGTGTTTAGTGCCCCCGTGTGGTGGTGCACGAAGTAAACATACATGAACCATCAAGGATCAAAGGAGGCCTAGGTGAAACCTCTCCTTTTACAAATGGAGAAACTAAGGCTCAAAGAGGGTGAGGGTGCTTCCCAAGGCTCTAGTGGAGAGGAGCTAGGAACACAACCCAGCTCTCTGACCTCGTGCTGGTTTAAATGCACCACACTGGCTGGGCATGGTAGCTCAGATCTATAATCACAGCTACTTGGGAGGTGGCGATCAAGAGCATTGTGGATCAGGGCCAGCCCAGGCAAGAAGTTAGTGAGACTCCATCTCAACCAGCAAGCTGGGCATGGTGGTGCACACATGACATCCTAGAATTGTGGTCCAGGATAGTACTGGTAAAAATGCAAGAACCTATCCAAAAAATAACTGAAGCCTTTTAAGGGCTGGAGAGTGGCTCAAGAGGTAGAGCACTTGCCTAGCAAGTGCAAGGCCTTGAGTTCAAACCCCGGTACTACAATAAATCAATAAATAAACAACACTGCACTGCTGTGCGCAGTGAAGACAAGAAAAACCAACTTAACAAGCCTTTCTTGAGCTAGTCAGGGGGTGGGGCCGGGAGGGAGGGCATGCTGCAGCGGAGCCCAGGACTCCACACATGCTAAGTACAAGTTCTGTCACTGAGCTACAGCCCCATCTGGCACATTAACCTGAGTATCATCTGGAGACATTCTTAGAATTGGGTTGCCATAAATAGCAACACACTAAAAGCACAGATAGTGGGTCCATCTCGGGCCTCCCAAAGCAGATGCTACCAGGATGGAGCATCTGTTTGTTCACCTGTTCCCTGGGGGCTACACCTACTTGGCTACACCTGAGAATCACCTTCTCAAGGAGTTCCTGGACACAAAGAAATCTGTCTCCATAGCCAAGGATCAGCAGTGGAGAGATTTCTTCTCAGTGGCCTCTGCTGTTTCTGAGCCACAAGCATGATGATTGCAATGATATTCTGTCTAGCTGTGACTGTCCTTTCTTGTCTGGGCCCCATCTTCTCACCTAGCTATACTGGGCTTGGCAGCAGTTTGCAAAAGAAGGCCAGCATTGAGACCTGGTGCCACCTTGGGCCAGCCAGCAGGTGCCCCCCAAGCCAGGGTCTATGTGGTCTCACACCTTGGCAAACTTGCCTCAATCCAAGGCAGGCCATGGGAACAGAGTTCACCTTTCAGGGTGTACAGGTTAACCGAGCTGTGAGGGAAAGAAGGCCTCTGTTTAAGCTGAAAACAAACTCATCAAGCCTGTGAGATCTTCAGTAGCTCATCCCTGAGGTGTCCACGGGGCTTGATTAATACGGAATCAGAGAAAGGGGAGGTGGCCTCATGATCCTGATTGCTGGTGGTATTGATTGTGCTAAGTGGACACTTCATCCTTCACCATGGTTACCACTATGGACTCTCCAGCGCCAGGACCTCTGATCCCAGAGACCACACACAGTCTGGGTCTGCATATGACCTTAGGCTTCCAAATTACTATGGAGTCAGGTCTGGTCTTGGGACCCTTTTTGTAGTCACAAATCTCATACACATTTGCTTAGTGTGCACAAAATGTCTCTAGACGGACATACTGATCAGTGGTCACGTGGCTGCCACTGGAGCTAAGACTAAGGAATGAGGGTCAGAAATGGAAGGAAGACTGGTTTTTTACTGTACACACAAGGACACGTGATTTTTGAACATCTTCAATCTTTTTTGTTTGTTTTTTATTTCTTTTATTCATATGTGCATACAATGTTTGGGTCATTTCTACCCTCTTCCCCCCCGCCCCGCCCCCTCCCTTTTCCCCACCCTCTTCCTCTCCCCACTTACCCCCTCAATACCCGGCAGAAACCATTTTGCCCTTATTTCTAATTTTGTTGTAGAGAGAGTATAAGCAATAATAGGAAGGAACAAGGATTTTTGCTAGTTGAGATAAGGATAGCTATACAGGGAGTTGACTCGCATTGATTTCCTGTGCGTGTGTGCTACCTTCTAAATTAATTCTTCTTGAACTAACCTTTTCTCTAGTTCCTGGTCCCCTTCTCCTATTGGCCTCTGTCACTTTAAAGTTTCTGTATTATGAACATGTACAATCTTGTCATGATATTGCAACTCAATTGTTTTCAAGAATATAAACAAAATTTTGATAGCCTGTCCTTTACTGACGCCTTCAATCATCACGTATATTCTAGCAGTCCAGACGCTCTGTTAAGGTGGGCACACAAGCCTAAGTAACATTACCCTGGAGCTTGGTGGGGATCGAAGTCTAGGGAGAGGGGCAGGTTAGTGAAAATACCACATGATTTGCATAAGAGGCCAAGGTGGAGGGTTATTCCTACAAACTATGGTTCACACCTGTAATCCCAATTACCTAGGAGGTGGAAATCGGAGGGCCTCAGTTCTATGCTAACCCAGGCAAAAAGTTAGTGAGATACCCATTTCACCAATAAATTGGGCATGGTGGCAAGCACCTGTCATCCAGCTACAGAGAAGGCATAGGGAGGCAAGGCCAGCCCTGGGGCAAAGACACGTGATCTTATTGGAAAAAGAATAAGTAACGCAAAAAAGGGCTGGTGGTGTGTGGCACCTGAATTCAAAACTCAGTCCTGCCAAAAAACACCAGGGAGGCAACATAGGTGCTACAGTTTGGGTAAGAACTGAGATGGTCCCAAGGGTTCATATGTGGGAAATTTAATCCCCACTGTGAGGTATTAGGAAGGTAGAAACTTAATCCTCCCATAGTGTTTAGAGTGAAGTCTTTGGGATATGACGTGATAAATGTACCATGTATGATGTTAATGTTGGGAAAGCTGGGCGGAAATCTAAAAATCATTCATAAATAAAAAGTTTAAAATCACCACAGAACAACCAGCAGAAGAGAAAGGAGATGCAGAGGACCTTAGGGTTAGGTCCTGAAGCCAGGTGGAGCTAGGGACAGAGAGCACTCACCTTGAACGGGAAAGGACCCCCTGCCTCCCTTGGATCAGAGAAGGAGTTACCCACAGACACAAATGATCTGGCAGTCTGAAATATAAGTACTTAAATGAAAATAATTTATACAAAGAGAGACATAGCAGGTGAATGGAGTACATATAAAACTTGGCTTGATGATAGAAATTAATGGTTAAATATTACACAAAAATGAAAATAGCTGCTGCTTGTGTGCCTAAAACAGATTCTGTCAAAGTAGTCAACCAATGATTGCTGAAATAGTTGCAAATAATAAGAGTCATCCAGCACCAGTGACTCATGCCTGTAATCCCAGCTACTCAGGAGGCAGAGATTAGGAAGATCATAGTTGGAGACCAGCCTGGGCAAATAGTTTTTGAGACCCTATCTCGAAAAATACCCAATACAGAAAAGGGCTGGCAGAACGGCTCAAGTGGTACAGCACCAGCCTAGCAAGTGTGAGGCCTTGAGTTCAAACCCCAGTACTGCCAAAAATAATAAGGGTCTGTAGGTTCAGCTCAGTGATAAGGGTGCTTTCCCGGCAGAGCTCAGCAAAACAAAATAAAACCTTTGTTTTTGTTTTTGAGAACACACACAGAAGATTCTATAGACAGAAAAGACCTGATGACTGTTACCTTTGCAAATCTGTGTGATGTTTGAGAAAGCCTGACAATGTCTTCAAGATCCAGGTAAGAAATGATACCGAGGAGCATATTGTCTGAGAGCCATTCGAGGAAGTCAAATTTACCTCTGAATAAATTGAAGACATACTCAATATTCTTGCACCAAATATTAAGGCAATTTGAACTGTAAGTCAAAGAAATCAATAAATCAATATGGTTATCATTTATAGTCATGTCAAAACTGTAAGCTCACCATCCAACTTAGATCTGGTGGAGTGGCTCAAGTGGTAGAGCGCCTGTTCAACCCCTAGTACAAGTCAGGTGCTGGTGGCTCACGCCTGTAATACACCTAGCTACTCAGGAGGCAGAGATCAGGTGGTTCTAAGCCAGCTCCAGGCAAATAGTTCTGGAGACCCTATCTCAAAAAAACCCATCACAAAAAAGGGCTAGTAGGGTGGCTCAAGGTGTAGGCTCTGAGTTCAAACTCCTCTGCAAACAAAAGAGTACACCATAAAAAGAAATAAAAAACACCCCACTTTATGAAAGCAACTCCATTTTGCAGGCTGTCTCTGGTTTGTCTCAGGGGCAAATTGCCCTTTCCTGTGCTCTTCTAGATCAGAGGACAAGTTTGCTATAACTACTTGACAGAACATCACATCTTGAGTTTGCAGCCCAGATGTCCCAACCTGAGTTTGCAAATCAACCAAAACCGAAAAAAAAAACAGCCTTAAGTATGCCCTTAAAAACTACTTATAGCCAGGTGCCTGCGCTCACACCTGTAATCCTAGTTACTCAGGAGACAGAGGTCAGGAGGATCTTGGTCAAAGCCAGCTTAGGCAAAAGTTCACAAGATCCTATCTTGAAAGGGCTGCCGGTGTAGCTCAAGTGTGCCTGCCTAGCAAGCATGAGACCCTGAGTTCAAACCCCAGAAACACCCCTTAAAAAAAGAAAAAATTGCTTTTAAGTCCTAACACCCCACCATCCACACCATCTAGGGCCATACAGCCTTTAGCAGTCGTCCCTTTCCTACCTTGGAAAGGGAATAAACCTTCGCAGCTGTTTGGACTTCTGTGAATTCTTCCACACGAAGGAATGCCTTTTACCTAACATAAATTTAACAGTCAGTGAGACGGAAGCTTGGTGACACTTCTTTCTCAGGAGTGCCACAGGCTTGTGCCCAAGTCATTCTTACTTTCATCCGGCTGCCTCTGGTATTAGGCGCACACATTTGAGACATTTGTTTCCAACTTGCTCGATCCAAATTTGGCATGGAGTCACTCCATGGCCAGTGACTCCAGAGACAAGGCTTGCAAGGCAACAGGTTTTATTAGAAAGCTGGAGGACCAAGGGACAAAAACCATCTGCTCCCACCATCCCTCAGGCAGTTTGTAAAGCCAGGTGGAGGTGGGTATCACATGCCAAGATAGATCACTCTTGCTCAGGCTTTCACATGCTTGCATGCATGTTCAGGAAATAGAATTCAGGACTGCCTCATGATGCAGACTTTGCACTAAAATGAGCAAAAGGTCACTCTGGGTCAAGGAAACAGCCGTCTAGGGGTTTGGCTGACAGCGTAGGACTCTTGAAATCTTAAAACTTAAACAAAGGTTAGTTCACATTTTGTTGCATCTTTAACAGGTACCTTGCATGCAAGGGGAAAGGCAGGGTGTGACACCACCAAGTTGTGGCTTACAACCTGTGCTAAAAGAAAAGGAACAAAGAACATTAAAAAAAATTGTTATAAACCCCCCCTCCCAGTTTCTTCCACCATGAAATCCTATGTGGTGAGAGTTCTCTCCATCATCCTGCCTTGTGTCCCAGAAGGTAACATTAGTCCTGTGCAAGTGATGCCTGCTAAGGACACTGAGCTTTTTCCAGAGACCTTCCCCCACACCATCACCTGGAGTTTAGCAATTTCCAGAGCTTGAGCTAGTCTAATTGAAGTTTTTTCCACTTCCAGGCTGATCCAACTCATTCATGAGCCAGTGGTAACATCAGTGTGAGGTCTCTTTGCATGTGTTGTATTAACTGAACCTTCATCCAGTCACTTCTCTATAAGGGGGACACTCTCCACGGTATCCTCAAGGAGGGAAAGAATGGGGATAACCTACATGTCCTGCTAACAGCCTTTTGCAACTGTCAGCATACACTTCAGCCCAACCTTCCTTCCCTTATAATAAAAAGCCACCTTAGGTAACCCTGCCAGTATGCATCTACGGTAATGCTTTATCTTAGGCATATCCCCACCACTGTAGGCCCAGTCAGGGTTTTTTCCCACAGATGGCTACCTCTGGCGCTGGGCTCCTTGCTGGATTTTCCTAATGGAAGTATTTCGATTCCTTGAGAGCCTTAAAATTCACTAATAGCTTTTCACCTGCAGTTAAGGTGAAAACCAGCACATTGGGCCAGGATGGCTGCTAGCAGACAGTCCCTCAAACAGTTGTGTTATCTGCTTGGGATCATCCTTGCATGCAGGCCAGTGATCTTTAAAATATGCTAATTCTGGGATGGAAAAGGGTTTATGAAACCAGATGTATCTAACTTGTTCTTGCTGATGTACATACACTGAATATTGTATGAGAGGGAAAATCCCCTGGATAAACTGGAAGGAGAGACCATTCCAGCAGCAGGCTCAGGTTGATACTGAGATGGTCTGGGTTTGGCAAGGGTGTGTGTGTGTGGGTTCAGTCTATTTTGATGAGGGGGGTTGGTGCCAGTTGAGACCAAGAAAGCATAACCTTGTCCTGATCAGCTTTCAGTATGGTGGGGCTACTGCAGTGGGGTAGGGAGTGGGGGATAAATGGTAACCATTCTGAGAGGACATCACCTTGTGATCAGGTTTCAATGTGGTGGGCCCCTGGTTCCCTTCGAACTCCATCAAGTTCCCTTGCTTTTTTCTTCCTCATGAAGGCACACAAATGCCAGCACATAAGGGATTTCATCTGCCTTGCCAGCCTGCTGACAATATAGTTCCACATGGTGCATGGTATCATAATTCAAATACCCATCTTTTGGTCACCTTTTCTCAGTCTCCAAAATGTATGTACAACAGCCAGTGTTCCAGTAATAAACGAAGCTCTTTCTGATCACTGGTGGTGGTGGTGGGGGCTATCAGCAGGAGCTGTACTGGTGTGACCCATATTTTTAAGGAGCAAGAGAGAAGAGAGAAAAAGACTCCAGTGAGAAAATTAGGACCCACCCCAATATCTAGCAACAAATCGGCCAGACACACAACCAAGACTTTGCAACAATCGGCGCGCCTTCCAAACATGCACTTGGGTGTACAGCCCATCAACTGTTTAAACAGTCCAGCGGCACCAGTTCAAGGGTACCAAAGCCCCCATCGCCACCCGGGGGACTTTCCCCGGCCCACCGCACTTCAGCCGCAGAGAAGCCCAAATCCAGATGTGGGAGGCAATGGTGACGCGCGCTGAGGCCACAGCTTCACGCGGAGGCTGCGGCAGGAGGGCCGAGGACCGTTGGGGCTCACGCGCTCCTCACCAGCCTGGGAAAGACAGCGAGACCCCGTCTGAAAACGAAGGAAAGCAAGCGAATCCCCGTCGGCGGTGCCGATTCGATTCGAACGGGCAGGGAGGGAGTGGAGCCCCGCGATCGGCTGGCGCCGGCCTGGGAGAAACCAGACCAAAGGTGTCCAGAAAGGGGTCCGCGCCTGATCTCCCGCTGCGGGGCCTCCAAGCCGGAACCTCAAATTTGTGGCCGGGACGCAAGTTTGGCTACTTGCTTGTCAATTGCTGGTGCCAGGTAGCAGGTTTTATTGGAAAGCCGGCGGACCTACGGACAGGACAAGCCAGATGCTTGCGCCGCCCCGCCCCGTGTGGAAATTTTAAAGTCATCATTTTGGGCGGGTTGAGGTCGCTGTCACTCTTAGAGTCGGCTCAGATTTGACGCAGGCGCAGTTCGTGCTGGCAGGAACTGCTGGTAGGACGCTTGGTCTCTGGGTTGGCCTTACCTTAGCAGTAAACCCAGCAAAGGGCTGGTGTCAGTTCTGAAAACCCAGAGGCTGGGGATGTGCTAACTGCCACACTCTAGTGAGTGCTGAAGCCCAGGGCTGTCCCCTTCTCCTTCCCCATGGCAGAAAGCAAATGGGAGCCTCACCTAGTAGAATTCTTGGAATTCCTACAACTCATACAAGGGCTAGCTTATCGCTATTTTAATAGGCACTTTATTCCCAAAGCAAACGGAAATCAAGATGTGAGTTACAACTGTGTCTACACTACAAAAGCAAGCTGTGAATTGTAACCTTGTGAAAGCACAGTTGAAAGCAGTAAATTTTGTTTTCCTGTTACACCTCCAGAGATCAGAATCTTGAGGACAGTCATGGTTTAACCACACGGCTTTTGATCTCAGCAGCACCAAAGCAGCCTATTTTACAAATTTAAGAGTCCCCAGCAAGACCCTCATCCTCACAGCCCCTCTCTTGGGCAGCTGTGAGATTTTTCTACCACCCCTCTCCAGCCCCCAAATTGGTCTCAAAGATGTTGTCTCTTACTTAAGTTGACTTTTGTTTTTATATGTTGCTTTTCCATTAAAATTCCTTTCTAGGTCTGTTGGGGTGGCTCAAGTGGTAGAGCACCTGCCTAGCAAGCGCGAGGCCCTGAGTTCAAACCCCAGTACCACAAAAAAAAAATTTATTTGCCAGGCGCCAGTCTCTCATGCCTGTAATCCTAGCTACTCAGGAGGCAGAGATCAGGAAGACTGTAGTTTGAATTCAGCCCTGGCAAATAGTTTGTGAGATCCTTTCTTGACAAAACACTTCCCCCTAAAAAAATGACTGGTGGAGAGGTGTGGTTCAAGGTATAGGCCCATTCAAACCCCAACACCGAAAAAAAAAAAAAAAAAGGTGAGACTCTGGACATTGGAAGGAGGAAGTAAAAACTGAAAAAACGGAGCAGTTAGCTCTCTTTGCATCTCCTTTCAGATGTTAAGTTATAAGAGCAGAGAGATAGAAAGTGATTATCTGTATCTGCCTTCCCTCTAAGAGATGTTAACAAGCATTCTACCCTAGATTGGGTAGAAAAGGTGTGTCTGACAAGGAAAGCCCTAAAGCACATCTATTGTCCTGGTGTTTTGGGTGGGCCTAGATGACATCTCCCTGTTTTAACATCTTGATCCATTATCTTAATGATTAGAGGTTGCTAGACACTGTATTTCCCCTGCTGGAATGTGGAGAAACCCTGAAACAATGCAAACATGGCTACCTCCAATAAGAGAGCCAGAGAAAACAACACACATAGCTGCCCAACCCCAATGACCTTCCCGCTAATGTCCAGCACCTCCCCCATCCTCCTTCTCAACCACCTTACCTAATGCCCATCCCCTCCAACCTCCCTTTTCCCTCCACAGGATGTTTAAAACACCCAGCCCGTAGGAGAGGCGTGCTCGCGCCCCTCTGACAGTGTTACTCTGATGGCTGAGGGGCCCTCTCAGATCTCCTCTCCCTAATAAAGACCTGCTGCTTGTGAAGGTTGCACATTCTCTCTTGGTGTGTCTCTCTTTTCAGCTTCTTCACTTTCATTTGGTGCTGAAACCCAGAAGAAGAGTTTTGAGCAGGGACACCCTTCTTGGGTTACCACGACTCTGTGGCGATCCTTATATGGTCAGTGGTGCACCCCATGGGGTCTCTGGTCCAGACTTGATATGGATGCACTATGGCTAAGAGATGACTAAGGTCCCGTGAGGGATGCAGCCAGTGCCTCTATCCCCAAACCACCCAACCTCCCTCTGAACTTCTCTCTTTCTCTCTTCTTTCCCTACTTGCTAACCTCGATATGACTCTAAAACTACTATATTTTCTCCTGAGCCTCCCCATCTTACTGACAGTTGTTTTGGGCCTAGGACTAGGTGCAACTGCTCCAATGGACTCGAGCCCAAAAAATATTGTTGGTTGCTTTTTTCTCCCTAATAGTCACATTGCTCTAGGGCCTGACCTTTTGGTCATATATATGCCCCTAACTTCCTGTTCCTCTGTGACCTCCTGCAG